CCTAGGCCTCTAATATTTTACCAGGGTCATTTTAACTATAAAATCTACACTTATGCCAAATTTCATCAAAATCCCAGTCGAGCAAGACGCAGCTACTCCTTGTTGGATTCATAACCCTTTTATTTTCATATTTCATTTTACATTTAATTTATTTTACTCACAATTTTGTACTACTTATGTCAGTCAACTAGTAAATATCTTTTCGTTTTATTTTTCAACTATAAACTCGTATTTTGCGACCGGTATAATTTATGTCGTAATATAAAGTCAGCATTGCTACCGGAATTTTACATAACAAGAAACGCGTGCGATATACATAAAGCACAAATAGAATAAAATTTGCGACGTATGTAGAAAGTAGAACTCCGACGGTTCTCTAAATTAAATTGAAAATTCGAAAATTTGTGAATAGTTCATTTATTCCGATCAAATTTGCACAATTTTGACTGACACTGTTTAATTGCAAAAATATGAAGAGCATTGTTGTAAAGTTTTTGATATTTTGTAAAGAAATTTATCCAAAATTTGAAAACGTCTTCTTTTCAGTAAAATTAGCTCTAGATGATACCACTTTAGTAGAAAAATTAACGTTACAATGAGTGGAATTGCATTTTTTAGTTTTTGGTAAAAATTCGTCCAGGCAATTCTTTCGTGATTAAATGATGATTGGTTTGTTTTACGAATTTGATGAAACTTTGTATAACGATAGATTACATGGTCTAAAATCACATACTAAAATATTATAGGCCTACGATAAGCGGTTGAGTTATAAAAATTCATCAAAGATTTGAATATCGTCGCGCGGTTAAGCGATTCTAATCAGAATCTGTCCCAGAGTATAAGTACATTCTTTGGTGTTTTGTATATAGCTACTGATTACAGTTGACGTTCGCGCTTGAATAAACACATTTTTAGAACAGGAAATGAATTAAATAGAATTTTATCAACATTAAGTAGTAGATGTTCTCATATATTTTATATTATAAAACAAAAGATCAGAAGCATGAATACACAGATAAATTCAAGTAATCGAGCTTTATAGGTTGAACACAAAATATATCACATAGATAAAGATAATTGGCAAAACAAGATTAAACTTTGATGTTTATTCATTTTCTATCATCGTAAATCATATCAATACTTTTCGTTGCATAATATAAATAACTTATTCATATATATCGTTTTATTTCTGTCGACAACTTTTGCACTATTTTCGTTGCATGTCTCTAAATGGTACTTCGTAATATTTTTGCATCGGTTATATAAGATTGCATATAACGAATTTTCCTTTGCGGATTTGTTAATTATAATGTCGTACTGTAATTTAGTTCTGTAATCATGCAAGTAATCCAGTTTTTTATAAAAAATGTAAATCATATATAGTTTATTGATACTGTGTGGATATTATATGATATTTGATTGTATTATTATATCATTATTAAATTTGTTAGTACTTAGATAAATTTAAATAAAATTAGATTATGAGACGATTTTTGGCCTAGAACTCTTACTAAAATTCGAATTTTATTATTAAATTAAATTTAATTCTAATTTTAAATGACACAAGTTTTGTGTAAGACAGATTTATTAACAAAACTTGTGCCATTTAAAATTCTACGCCTCAGATTCAAAAATCCCCATGAGTTCAGCTTTTTCACTAGCCAATTATATTATTATGGATGTAATAATGATACGATACGATTTTTGTATGGAAATTAACTGTAATTTCAAACGAAATTGAAAGTTATCTCTTAGTATTCAAACAATGATTTTTATAA